ATATAAATATATAGAAAACAAAAGGATATACAGTCAACTCTGGATATAACGAACTTTACTCTATAACGAACTTTTTTTTAAAAAAAAATTATTAGAGTTCGGTATAGAGACATAATAATTTACTTTATAGGAAACTTTTTATTATAAGAACCATCAGTTCGTTATAAAGAGAGTTGACTGTAAATATAATATATACAGTCAATACATAGTCAACCCTGGATATTATTGTATACAAACCTTTTCATTTTTTAAGTATTTTTAAGTATTGTTTTTATGTATAACGAACACACTATAACGAACTTTGAATTTATGAAATAAATAAATAATGAATAAATATATAAAATAAAAATAAAATAATAATAATAATAATAATAATAATAATAATTATAATTATAATTATAATAATAATAATAATAATTATAATTATAATTATAATAATAAATTAAATTGCTATATAACTAATTTTTGTTTACTGCGAAAACCGGCAGTTCATTGTGATTATAGAGTCATTATTGCTAGTTCATTATAGAGAGTCATTATTGCTAGTTCATTCTAGAGAATCATTATGCTAGAACATTATAGAGAGTTGACTGTATATACAAAATTAGGCATTTACATACCTGGAGGAAGTTGACCATTAGTAGAAATCTTTGTCCACCGAACATTTAAGTTATTACCAGAAGTAGCCAAAGTTCCACCCAATACCACAGCCCAAAGGTCAGTAAACAAATCTTTTCCATTAGTTCCATGAGTTAACCATATAGTAGTGTTTGGAGTAGTTTGACTTCCACCTTGTACAGAAGTATCAATTCCTCCAACAGCACCATATATTTGAGGTATAGGGCCACTCGTTGAAGATACATTTGTTATTTCAGACCAAGTATTATAAGTTATATCAAATGCCCAAGTATCGTTATATACTATATCACCGTCACCTTTACCACCGGTTATTACAAAAACATTTCGGTAACCAGCATAAATATCCATTCCATATACCATATCAGATCTAGCAGCTGGTCTTTGGGCAGTTTGTAATGATGACCAAGTCATGGAATTAAGGTCAGCTATATACGTGGCACCTGATTTTGTGTTGTCCTGTGTGCTATATAAAAAAAGATGGATATATATATATATGTATTTTAAAGCTAAAAATTTAACCCATTAAATTTTTTCTCTTTTTTTTTTTGAAAAAATACATACGTTCCGCCAAAAATGATCAATTTATTGGCCAACTTATTGTAACCGAAACCAAAATCCTTT